ATATTGATTATATGTTGAAGTAATAATATTTGGGATATACTGAATTAAATAAAGTATATTGAAATTCATCAGTTGCTTTTTACTATTTTTAATGTGACTATAAGAAAATTTAGAATTTCACATGTGGCTTGCACTGTATTTCTATTGGACAGTGCTGTTCTAGAACATTAATGCAGGGGACTTCCCTAGCAGTCCAGTGGTTGAGACTTCACCTTCCAATGCAGGGGATGCGGGTTCAATCCCAGGTCGGGGAGCTAAGATCCCACATGCCTCCCGCTAAAAAGACAAAACATAAAACAAGCAGTATTGTAACAAATTCAATAAAGACTTAGAAAAAGGCAGCTTTAAAAAAAAAATTAATGCAACAGAAGCAATGTTTTTGATGTTCTTTTTTCAGATGACCCAGGTTTTCAATCCCCTTGTGACCATTTCACCTGTTCTTTTCGCTCAATTCGATATTCATTTGTCTTCTCTTCCTCTCCCGCCTGTTCTCTCCTTTACACCTTCTCCATCTCCAGCATTGCCATCATGATCGTGGGGCTTTCATCCAGCAGTCAGACGATCTTAAGAGCCAGGACTGCAGGCAGCAACCACCTCACCTGGGGGCTGGTTAGATATGTAGAGTCTCAGGCCCCACCCCAGCCCTAATGAGCCATATCCTATTTAACAGGATCCCTAGGGAATTTGTGCATGAAAGTTCGAGCCGCGAGAGCTTTAACAGTCTTCTTTCCTAAAGCACCCCATTTCAGCGAATCGCCACATCTGTTCTTTCGGTTAGTTTGGATGACATTTCTGCAAAGTCGATACACCATGAAAGTTGTGGCTAAGAGAAACTAGTACTCTACCTTTCTAAAAATTACTCAAACAGTGAATTTTAGGCAAATGGTATCCAGAGGTGGGTCCAGAGTTGAAATCCTGTGTCTTCCAGATTCAAATATCCTCTGTCTCAGAGACACAAAGGCAGTAGCATCCCCTTGCCGCTCTCCAGAGCATTTCGGCTGTTGGTGAAACAAGCCTCACCTCACTGCATCTTGTATAAATATGTGATTGTTTGCTCTGGTCACAGGCCACATTCCAGAGCTGAGTGAGCATGCCACCCATGAGCTAGGTGTCAGTCTTGGTTTGGGCTGATTGTGGAAGCCAGAGGAGGAACTGTGTACCAGCTGGATCCAGTCAGGAAGAAAGGTGCCTAATAGGATGCAGCTTCCAAGTCCCAAAAACCAGCCTTCTGGTGACTTGGGAGCACAGTGAAGTCTGAGAACCACTGCTCTATGGCGTGTCACCCATTCCAGGCTCTGACATGTACCTTACTCATGGATGTCTTCATTTCTCTTTTATGGTACAGGCTCACTGGACCCACTGAGGCCCATGCATGGCACATAGTAGATGTTGAAAATATTCATTGAACAAATTAACATTGCCTGTTTTAAAGGCGTCAGTCCTGTTATCTCTTAACTTGACCAAGTGAGAGAGAGTGTGGCTTTAACCTAAATTGTAGCCAGCTGTTTAGTGCAGATGCCACCCTCCAAGGAAGAGCAGAGCCGAGGGGAGTTGGGGTGGAGAGCCGGCCGGGCCCGACGCTTGCACTCATGCGAGGGAATAAGGGCACGCTGTCGTGACTGCTGGTTTCCCCTTACACACACCGCTTGTTACCATTTTTCTTTTTTTAATGTCACGATGAGCTCTAATTTGAGCTGCTTTTATTGTTCCCCTAAGACTTTGGGTTGCTCTGTGGGTATCACAAAAACTGAAATCCAATCCGTATTCTTCTCTGGGCTTTGGGGAAGTGGAACCATGGGTGTGTTTGTCATTTTTAGCCACCATTGGAGTAGAGCCAGAGCTCCAGGAGATATTAAAAGTATTTGGAATCGTCCTATTGGCTGCTGGAATTAGCTGTTAAACAAAGCAGCCAGTAACTGAACACTGGGGACCTTCTCGAACTCCAGTTGGGTGGGAGACCTTCCTGTGTGTGTCGGCTCTGAACTAGGACAGAAAGGTAGATTTGAAACACAGTGGGCTGGTGACAAAGCAGCTGAGAAAAGCGCTGTCCTCTCCGCCCTTTGTCTGGGAGTTTCACCCTGTCTCAGACCTGCTTCCTTTCTTTGTCGCTGCACTGTATTCCACTACCATCCTGCCTGGTCAGATTTACTAACGGAAGAGAAGCCCCAAGAGAGGTACTGGCCTCCTGTTCCATGAACCTAATCCAGGGACTAGACACTGTCTGATACACAAAGGAATTCTGTTCTGTGGACTGAAAGCAGAAATAAGGGGAGGGAAATTTTGGACATCAACTTAGTCTCATTCATTTAATCATTATAGGGGAGTGGATTCTTTGTTGTAGAGATTTCAGAGAATGTGCCTGGGTTTATCCTTATCTTTTCCTGAGGATACTTCTGACATATTTCACACACAGTAAACAGAAGCAATTTTCAAAGCACCACTTTCACTGGCATACTCTGTTTCAAAATATCTCCCTTGGTAGCCACAGAGCCCATTACGAACTGACACCACCTTAATTATCATCCACCGGGACTGACAGGACCTGCTCAGAACATGCTGAATATCGTGCTTTTCACAAAGATGTGTCAGTCATAGGATTGAAAACTAGCATGGCCTAAAGCTTGAAGAGTATATTTCATTATATTTATTTTCCATAGAAATAGTAGAGATAGAGATGAAGAATGCTGTATTCATTCTAAAAATGACCAGTGTCATCTGTACTGATAACTGAGAAAGGCACTTGGATTTCAAACAGCAAAATGAACATATTTACAAGGAAGCAATGCCTGCTAGCATGTTTCTGCATTAAGCTTATCTAGCGATCAGTGTTGGGCCCAGTGGATGTTAGCCGTCAGAACTGCTGGTGGGTGAAAGGTAAATGAGCTGAGAGAAACCTAGTGAAATAATTTGGTGGATGGTACGTTACTTTTGGCTGAGGAAGTTGCCTTAGGTAAACTCCAGTTCCTACCTGTGTTAGAGACCAGTTGCCATGAGCTAGAATTTACAAGGTTTCAAGTGGTAAAAGAAGCTGTTTAGAGCCTCAAAGGAAGCACCTGTTAAAAAGAGCAATATATCTGTTTTTAGTGCCTACATAATCCTTGATCAAGAAGTATTATGCGAGTGGCACATTCGTAGTTCCCCAAATCTGCCTGGGTGATGGTTTTTTTTTTTTTTTAATTCATTTTTGGCTGTGTTGGGTCTTTGTTGCTGCGCACAGGCTTTCTCTAGTTGTGGTAAGCGGAGGCTACCTTCATTGCAGTGCGTGGGCTTCTCATTGCGGTGGCTTCTCGTTGCGGAGCACAGGCTCTAGGCACGCAGGCTTCAGTAGTTGTGGCACACAGGCTCAGTAGTTGTGGCTCGTGGGCTCTAGAGCACAGGCTCAGTAGTTGTGGTGCACAGGCTTAGTTGCTCCACGGCATGTGGGATCTTCCTGGACCAGGGCTCGAACCCATGTCCCCTGCATTGGCAAGCGAATTCCCAACCACTGTGCCACCAGGAAAGCCCTGGTGACAGGGATCTTGCTAAAAACCAGTCTCATGCCTTCAGAGATATCAGCAAAACCCTTTCCAGAATACTGTTTTCTCTGACTTTAAGCCTGTGTGGGTTGCATGGAGAGGGCTTATTCCCCCCATTTTCCAGATGAGAAAATGGGCGAAGGTTGTGACTCCCCACCCCGACCCCATTCACATGGGGAATATGTAGATATCTGAAAAGAGGTGATACCTTTCAGATCCTCTGCCCTCCCCTCGAAAACAAGCAAAGGCCTGTGGGATTCACCATACCTTCATGGCTATTATTCTCTATACTATTCGTCAACTAAGACATTTCAGCCTTAGGCTACTCTCAAGTAGTTATTGAAATCTCTTGTTCAGCACCTCTCGCTTTCTTCTTTTTTTTTTTTTAATTTATTTATTATTTTTTAATTTATTTTTGGCTGTGTTGGGTCTTTGTTGCTGCATGCGGTTTTTCTCTAGTTGCGGCGTGCGAGCTTCTCATTGCTGTGGCTTCTCTTTTTGTGCAGCACGGGCTCTAGGCACACGGGCTTCAGTAGCTGTGGCACGTGGACTCAGTACCTGTGGCTCTCGGGCTCCAGAGCGCAGGCTCAGCAGTTGTGGCCCATGGGCTTAGTAGGTCTGCGGCATGTGGGATCTTCCCAGACCAGGGCTAGAACCCATGTCCCCTGCATTGGCAGGCGGACTCTCAACCACGGCACCACCAGAGAATTCCCTCGCTTTCTTCTTGAATATCTTCTCCGACTAGACTGTGAGCCCCATGAAGATAGCGTCTGGCCCTCTCTGACCTCACGTCACTCCCTATACCTCACACCTCATACTCTGAACCTAACAGGCACCTTAATAAAAATCAGTTGACTTGGTGGTTCTAAGGATGAGAGTACTGGTTGGATCATGTGATTGGCAGTGCTTCTGAGGGAACAGATGTTCCTATTCAAATCCATGAAACTGGAAACATGAAAAAACAACAATCATGACATTGATTGATAGTGATATTTACTGTGTCAGACTGTTTAAGCTTAAGCTATAAAATAGACTATAACGTACTGTCGTCTTTCCATTTTGATTTCAAAGATTCTCACACACTTAAATAATGTCCCTTGACTCAGATCCTAATTCTTGTGTGATGTACTATGTAATATTTCCTTATCAAATTACAGCCCTGTTCTTTTGAATTTTACACTCCAAGCCTCCCCTTCCTGAGAAAACAACACTTCTGGGTGCTTTGAAGACACTTTTTGGTCTGTTATAAGAAAATATTTATCAGTTGGCAAGGCATGTACTGCTGAGAACACGGTGGACAGTGCAGGGCCGGAGAGAGGTGTGTGTTGCCGAGTATCCTGTCTGCACTAATTTCCTAAATCCCCTGCCTGCCAGATGGGTGGTCATCGTTTGAATTGGTTCATAAAAGGTGATTTTAGAACCTGCGGCATAATCTTAAGCGCAAACAAGGCTGAAGGGCTGTCTTTTCTGTCTTATTCAGGTCCTGAGCAGGCAGAGCCACGTGCTATGAGCACCTCGGGTCTGTTCCGTTTTCCTACCCCACTGACCAGAGTGTGCATGGTGCCCTGGGGACTCCGGCTCTGCGAGAAGCCGAAACTCTTATCCCCTGGAGCAGCGGTCGCTCCAGTCCAGGCAGCAGGCAAGAAGGACCACCCTGCTCTGCTCTCCCTGGATGAGAGTGAACTTAAAGAGCAGTTTGTAAAAGGACACGGGCCAGGCGGCCAGGCAACCAACAAAACAAGCAACTGCGTGGTGCTCAGGCACGTCCCCTCAGGCATCGTCGTCAAGGTAGAGGAAGGAGGCCGTGGGGGCCCTGGTTTCTCCTGAGTGAAAACTTGTTCTCACCATGACCCTGGCAGTAGAGGGACTGCAGGTCCTGTGCCTGGTCCCGAGCGTTTCTCCCAGGCAGAACCTCCTGCATGGCGTCAGGAGCCTCCTTCCAGGAGGCTCTTACTGCTGCAGTTGCTCTCTTACTGCTGCTGTCCTTGAACTTGGCAGGCCACGGTTCTGGTCGAGCCACTGGGCTGCAGGGTGGCTTCAGAAAGCTCTGCGGCGCTGCCGTGAGCTCCAACCCCCAAGCAGCACGCGGGCCCAGGCTGTCCGCCGGTGGGCTCAGCCCTTAGCCTCCTGGCTGATCGCTCAGATGGTCACGTTCTCCATGTCCCTCCGTCCCCTCTCTGGTAAACGTCAGTGACATCTACCCTTCTGAGAAGGACTGAGTGAGATAACGTCGGCAAAACCCAATCCCAGCCCTCAGAAGAAAAACGCCAGGCACAGTTGCCTGTAGGGATCTTTCTTCCGAATATAAGAAAAACAACCTCCAGCTGTCAGTACATTCTGAACCTCTAGGAAATGGTACAGTGCTTTTCTCCTGCTTCCTGGTGTGGTAGCGGCCCACTGCCTCTGTGGAGCTGCCAGTCCACTCCGTATCCCCAGGGCCCTGAAGGCGGCACAAGCCTTGAGGCACAGCAGAGGGAGCAGAGGCAGGCGTTCGCACACCAGCGGGGCCTTTCGCAAGTGCTTATGTATCACGTGAGCTTGCGGCCGGCCCTGTTCTGAGCCACTTCACATTCTCGTTACAAGCCTACACTCATGATGTGGAATCTGAGGCACAAGGAGGCTCCTGCACCTGCAGGAGTGTCAGCCCAGACCAAACCCAAAGTCTGTTCCTAACAGCTGTTCTTCGCTGCCACGTTTTTGAGCCAAGAGCGTGTTAGTGAAAATCTCAATCATTTTTCTTTTCCTCCTCAAAAAAAGTGACATTCGTGAGCAACAAATAAAATTCTGAAACCCATTTTATATAGCTTACTCCAAATTTGCTTTTGGTACTATTCTTTCATCCTAATTTCACAGGATTTCTTTTATCAAATTGCTTTGCAAGGCACTCACCAGTGATAACGGAGATATTACGTAATGAATATCATGGCTGACTAATAATAAAGAGGCTATTTTCCTCCTTCAGAGAGAAGTTTACATTTATAAATGGGGCACACAAAGGGCTTGCTTAGACATACTGGTTGATGTTTTCAAAATTATTTGGGAACTTTATTTGAAGGCTACTGTTACTTCTAAACAAAACAACACTCCTAATATTGGAATAGTCACAGTGAAGACCACATAATACAGCTGGGGTGTGGGACTGGGCGGGGGCCGAGCAGAGGCAGGAAAGGGTATGGCCTTCGTCCTGTAACTGACCTACTGGGACTCCTGACAAGTGGCTTTCCCTCTGCGGGCCTGACCCCTCTATAAAGGGACTAGGTTGAATTTAATGATTCCTGAGGTCCTGCCCAGAACACACTGGCTTTCACATTATGAAATATTATCTCTTACAGTGCCACCAGACTAGATCCGTCGATCAAAACAGAAAGCTAGCTCGGAGAATCCTGCAAGAGAAAGTGGATGTTTTCTACAACGGTGAAAACAGTCCTGTTTACAAAGAAAAACGAGAGGCAGAGAAGAGAAAGCAAGAAAGGAAAAAAAGAGCAAAGGAGACCCTAGAGAAAAAGAAACTCCTGAAAGAACAATGCGAATCAAGTAAAAATGTGCCCAGAGAAAGGACTGCAGATTCTGACTGAAAGAACCTGCCGGATGGGACTTCCCTGGTGGCGCAGTGGTTAAGAATCCGCCTGCTGATGCAGGGGACACGGGTTCGAGCCCTGGTCTGGGAAGATCCCACATGCCACGGAGCAGCTAAGCCCGTGCACCACAACTACTGAGCCTGCGCTCTAGAGCCCGCGTGCCACAACTACTGAAGCCTGCACACCTAGAGCCCGTGCTCCGCAACAAGAGAAGCCACCGCAATGAGAAGCCCACGCGCCGCAACGAAGAGTAGCCTCCACTCGCCACAACTAGAGAAAGCCCACGCGCAGCAACGAAGACCCAATGCAGCCAAAAATAAATAATTAATTTTAAAAAAAGAACCTGCCGGATGCCTCCAGGGACGGCGTGAGCTCCACCACCAGTGCAGCTGTGACGGGCTCCAGAGACAGCAGAGTTTCTAAACAGCAGACAAACTGTAGTGAATAGCAGTGCACACTTTGAGAATAAAACTGTAAAAAGAAACACAAGGAAGTCATTACTGTAGAAGGACAAGGGCACTTTTTGGGGGGAGGAAAGGCTGTCACTGTGACGCGGGGCTAGGAGGGGCTTCTGGGCGGCTGACAAGTTCTATTTCTTGACCTGGACGGTAGTTAGAAGTATGTCACCTTTTAAGCTATACATTTGTGTGACTGTATCTGTATCTGCACCACGAGGCTTGTGGGAACTTAGTTCCCCGACCAGGGATTGAACCTGGGCCCTGGCAGTGAGAGCGCACAGTCCTAACCACTGGACCGCCAGGGAATTCCCCAATGAAAATATTTTCTGAAAAAACGCATTAATGTTAATAATGGACTTTTTATGGGAAACTATAGAATTGAGTCAAACAATAGCATTTAGTGCCTCCTTGTCATCTGCTGGAAGGTCATTGCTCAGTGATACATAGATGTCATTAAGAGAACAAAAGAAAACAAGATGGCGAAAGATTTACAAGTTAGTAAGTTACTTGCCCATTTACCCATTAGCTTAATAGACTGTATGTTGACAAGTAACCTCTCTGATGTGGAAATACACATGTCATTCTCTGTATGCTGATTTACAAGTAGTAGGTTTATAAAAGATGAGGTTTCAGAAACTTGGGTTTGTGAATTTGCTTGATACCATCCTTCAAGCTGGATTTGACCTTACAAATTGTTTGGGGGTTTTTAGGCATGGTTTGTTAGAACACATCTGGAAGTTTATGCATAAAACTAGTAGGGAAACAAACCGTGAGGTGAGAAGGCCACTGTCAGACACAGGGTCTGCCTCATCAGTGAAGACCAGACTGCATGCATCCAAATAAAGTTACCTGTAAAGAAGCCAGGTAAGGGTCTTCTCACCTCGGAGTAGCCTGGTTTGGAAGTTTAGCTCTACGCAAGGCTCTCGACCTCTGGTCGCAGTGTGCAGGGCCCTTCCCAGGTCCAACCTCCTTTTAGAAGGGAGCCAAGTGAAGGATCTGGAATGGTACACAGAAGACCGTAATAGTGGAAGGGAATTTGGGGAGCTTCAGACAAGAGGGACAAAAGCTTTAACTTCCGTCTCCCCCCTTCTTGAACCTTTTTGAATTTCCTGTCACATCCACGAAGGAGATGCAGACAAGCCGACTGCCTAGTACCCATTCCTCTGGCCTTTAGAGCTGTCATGGCTGGGACCTGGCCTCATGCCTGTGAAACCGACCAGGTCCCTCCTTTTGTCTTAGTCTACCCCTCACCATGGTAAATCCTCATTACATCGGGATCGGTGCGTAAGGATGACCTCAAAGTCCCTTTGGAAGGCACTGTTGGGGACCACCCCATGCATTCTCAACACATCCGAGGCAACCCAGTTTTCCCAGCACCAGAGCAGGTAGTTCTTCCAGTGAGAACAGGATGAAATAGCCAGCTTGAGTTCAAATGCTCACAGGTTAAGTTCCTAAAAACAGAATGGCCTAACCTGGGGGAGCGCAGAAAGGGCGAAATCAGTAACATCGCCTCTAGTTTTCCTTCCTGGCACACACTTAACATCTGCTGCAGTTAAGATGCATCCATGACGCAGCTTCACCTGATCCCTGCCTTCTGACGTAACCGACACATCCTGTCCCTGGCCTGTTGTGCTACTGATACTGTCACGCAAACTGTTTCTGGACCAGGGGGGGAAATGCCCTTTGACAGGTCTCTCCCCACTCTCGCTGAGGAGCCGTTCTTTAAAATACCACCAAGAATTTGCGGAACCCACATCTTAAAACAAGCTGTTAATGAAAATAAGCTTTATTACATCGAGTAATAAATACAAAGATGCAAACAGTTCCATTTTCTTCCAGATGTTTGGATCAACTTACAGGAAAGGCAGAACTGAAATCTACATACAGTGTCAGGAAAAATTTCGGGATCCCTGTCGGGTTTGGTTTGGGAGGTTGCTTTTCTGTATGTATAACTTGTGCGTTTTTAAAATCGACTTCAGAGCACTAATAGTCATGCAAATGCTTAAGCAAAAAAAAACTTACGTTAAGCAGAATCTCTAGTGTATGGGCAACGAGGGGACCAGCTACTAGTTAAGTGTGCTGTCAAGTCCGCACTACAAAAAGAAACCCTTCGAGTTGTATCAGCTTATGAAAAGGATCAAAGAACAATGCGGGTAACGTAAATGTATTCAAGAGAGCGAGACACTGGTATCTTGGAGGCAAACTAGTTTGCTGTAAGATAGGTAATTTTTACGTGCATCTTTTGAATCAATGCTTTAAAAAAACAACAACACACACCTGGGTAGTTCCTATTTAAAATGTAACTCCCAATCAACTGCAAAATCTTTCCTCAATCTTACAGACTGTAGGTTCGGAGCCTAGCGAACCACGGGAGGGGCAGGGGGAGGAGAAACCAAACTGTTACCATTTTGAAAACAAAAGTTTCATCTGAACAGGGGAGATGAACTGTAACTTCTCTCCAAAGATGGAAAACCGTCCAGGCTCACAGGGCGGCTAGGACCTGGCATTCCGTTCCGTTTCAGCCAAGCACTCCCGCACCAATCCCCGAGCGTGGATGATGCCTGGGAGAGAAGCAGAGGCGGGCGTCAGCCGGCAGCACCCATTCCAGAAGAGGAGGAGGGTCCTTCCAAACCAACCGCGAAACCCTCGGACTGGAGGAAACTCGGGACCCGCATAACCCCATCCCACCCCTCAAAGCCAAAACCCCTCTTCACGTCTCCCTAAAAGTTTCTTCCCATGCTCAAGGTGACAGCCAGCAAGCTCTCTTTTTATGACGTGACTCTCTATTTGAACCATGTTACCATCCAGATGACAGGAGTAAGTGTGTCCCCACCCAAGTTCTTTAAGCAGGGACCCGCTTTGGAGATTCCACGCCTTCAAACCATTATTTTTCCTAAATTCTAGAAAGGGCCTGACAATGTCAGGCAGCCTGCCTGGTTTGGGTGCGAGACGAGTGCTCACTCAGGCCACCTTGGTCCACTGATTTGTCCTTCCCCCCCGGGGGACGGGTGCCATCTTCTGCACTATTATTCTCCCCTCATCTTTTATCTCTATAGTTTGGGAGTTATCGCTTGTTTGGGTTTTGTAGGTTTTTTTTTTCTTTTTTTGGCTTTACTGAACTTCATGAAATATTGATTTCATTTTAATAGATACCAAGAATCTACTCCTTCCAAGAGGTGACCCCCCCAGAGGGCACTGGGAATGACACCCCAAGTCACTCAGGTGTCCCCACCTCACAAATCTTACCCCCGAGAGCTTCCGAAGACTTTCTGGAAAGGGCTGTGTAGCTACTGTCGCAGCTACTCCACTCTGCCATTGTACTGTGACAGCAGCCGCAGACATTAATAAGCAATGGGTGTGGCCACGTTCCAACAAGTCTTTACTTACAACACTGAAGTCAGAATTTCACATAATTTTCACATGTCACAAAATCTTATTTTTTTCACCATTAAAAACCGCAAAAAACATTCTTGGCGCTTGACTCCCTTGTGTCCTATGACCCTTCTTACTTGCTATGATGTAAACTTGGCCACCTTACTGGTCAGGGTGACTGTGGGACCAGCTGCTCACCCAGGATGTGCCCTGAAGCAGTCACCAGGTGTATCCATGTGTTGACCTGAACTGCCAGCTTTGTTGGGAGGCTGCAGGTCGCCTGTCAGAAAGACTGCAGGGTCCAGCATCTTCCCAGGCATTTGCAATCAGGTAACCGGCACTCCCATTACCAGGACTGTGGGCAGAGCGATGCCCACCTTACTGACCCCCAGGGCTGGATTGGGGGTTAAGCTCCTTCTCTCCCCCGAGCCCTCTTCCGTTCTAGCCTCTAACTGCCAGCCCCCCTCCCCACACCTGTGCCTGTTATTCCCAGATCCAGCTCTGCAATCGGTCAGTCTCTTCACAAAGGTGTCATGAACCGGCCCACTGCTCTGGATGGGAGCCTGTCCTCAGCCGGCCTCGCCCATCACTGGAGCCATGGCCTCAACTGCAGCCCCCCTGTCACGCCCCAGATTTATAGCCACAGAACATTTCCCTCTCGATTTTCCCCAAATTTGCTTCTCTAACCTTAAAAAAAAAAACCTCCTAAAATTACATTCACACATAAGCCACCGTGCTCTGAACTGCCACCTTCTAAAATAGAAATCCTTTTCTCCTCTCCACGCCGCTTTCACTTCATGAAGCAGCAAAAACCAACCTATTTCTCTGCCTTCTGAAGTCAGCTGGCCAGTCACCTCTTCACGTGAGTCACTTTCTTTCTGTGGCACCATCCTCCCGCCCTTCCTCCCTCTTCAATCAGGAAAGAACTTCAAAGCGTTCTCACTCTCCCGCCCCAGACTGGGATGGACCACACACCCCCCTGGGCCCCGCTCCAAGGAGGACAGCAGAAGGCAACGCAGGCCCCCTTGGCCTCGTGTCACTGGCCTCACCCAAGTTGGGAGCCTACCTTATTGGGCCGCCCAGGGCTCCTAGGACCAGTGTCGGCCAACGGGAGCAGAGCGGGCGTGAGGCAGAGCTGCAGCATCTGGGTACCAAGACTTTTTTTTT